ATAACATGTAAATTGGATGGATTGATTTTATGGTAGTTAAATGGACCCGGTGTGGTCATTACAGTAGAATTGTACAAGTTGTGTTTTGGGTAGAACTCTCCGAATAGAGGAGACTCTGCCCATATTTTGTTAAAAAATGAATGATGGATGAATGAAACTTTCGTCGTGATGGATTTACTTAATGCTCTCATGCGGTGAATGGTTTTTAGAATGTAATGTCAACCAAGGGGGTTTTGGGGCGTTACAGTTGGATCGAACTGGTTCGGATTTTTACTTTCCTCTAGTCCGAAATTGAGTTGTGTCTGTTCATACAGAACAATTATCCAAGTGGTGTCTATTGGCTATTGCATTGTCTTCTGAATTGTATCTTTTAGTATGGTGGCTGTCTAGAAAATCACAAAAGTGTCTATAAATACTCAAGCTCATTACCATTCTATATTCATTTGTTCATCAGTCCAATTTCAACATTAAGGTAGACATTATTGCATTGCATTTCGGCATTAGGGCAATCTGCGTTTTGGAGAGTACACAACATAATTTTTGGTTCTCTGAATGAGTAGATTGGAGTGCTACTTCTACTTGTGTAAAGATTGCTATTTGTATCTTGGGAGGCAGATGCTCGATATTCCATAAATACCGTGTGTGGAGGGGCGAAATCTGTCTTAAAGACATAGTGATAAACACTAGCTTTGATCAACATAAAGTTTAATAATAGTTTTTATTCTACAACCAGATTAATATTTATATTGTTTAAGCAATTCTGGCACTTGTCAAAAAAAACATAGGGGGATATGACATTTGTTTTGACTAGGGGTGGCCATAGGTTGGGTACCTCGTGCAACCCATCCAATCCAACCTAGACTATTCGGGACCTTAGACTAGTGTGGGGAAATTTTAGGGTGCAATTTCAGTTGTAACCATCAATCCGAAGTCTTAATCCGTATATTATTCGAATTTGATTTGAATTGAGATTTTTTTGCTCAAACCCAACCCAAGCTACTAAGAATTTTGAGTTGGATCTGGTTGAACTCGGATTAGTTCACCTAAATTACACTCACAAATGGGGATTGTATCGTGAAATGTATTGGCCTGATTAAGTTTTAAATTGTCCAATGTCAAGGTGAAATAGCATGGCTTAACCTAGCCTAATCTTGCGTAATTATTTGTACCCAATGATGTGTGCACTCAAAGCGTGAGATAGTGATGTTTTAGTTGAAAAGCTCAAGGTTTGTGTGAAATNGTTCACCTAAATTACACTCACAAATGGGGATTGTATCGTGAAATGTATTGGCCTGATTAAGTTTTAAATTGTCCAATGTCAAGGTGAAATAGCATGGCTTAACCTAGCCTAATCTTGCGTAATTATTTGTACCCAATGATGTGTGAACTCAAAGCGTGAGATAGTGATGTTTTAGTTGAAAAGCTCAAGGTTTGTGTGAAATAATATATGTACGAAAATGAGTACTGGGCAATAGAAAAGGACACACATATTGTAGTAGTTCACCAATTGAGAAGTTTGGTTACTTCACTCTAATGGAGTTTCTTGTTTCTTGAGAGATTGTCTATTACTTGGAGAAGATAGGTTACAAGATATTCAATTCCTTTACATGGAGAAGGCCTTGGTGTTTTATACCCATAGGTGGGGTGATCCCTATGTCATCATCACAAGATTCCTAAGTTTGTTAGGATTTTGTTGAAGGGAATATTGAGATTGTTAAAGGTTACATTTCCTAGGTGTGATGTGGCGTGGCCTTCTAGAAACAAGGTGACATTGTCACATTGTGTTGTGCTCCTGATATCATTGGATGAGTTGTTGAGATGGTGCTTAGTGATTTGTACAACTTTCTCTGCTGGAGGAGTTTGTTTAGAGGCTAGGAGGTCAATCCATATATTATTTATGCCAAAGCTCCAATAGATGGCAATGACTTTCCTATATGATGGGGATAAGATCTGGCTTTTTGGTGGCCATCCCATCCTCAATCTTTGAAGTCGTATTGTTCAAGATTGAACTGTGATAAGTAAGAATCGATTTGCTAAGTATGGTATCATCGGTGCCTAATTGTTCACTTTTAAATACAAAGTTTGTATTTATGCACTATAACTACTATAGGCACACTAAGCATTAACACCATGTAACTCGTATTTTAAAATGTTTTCGATGCATGTTTGGTTCATATATATTATAGGATGAGATTAGACAATTAATTCTAATTCATTCTAAAATGGTGGTAACAACTAGTCAAACATTTTATCCTATCTAAACTAGATCACGCTTAAACCAACATTTGGATGTTGTTCTAGTACCAATTTCAAGATTGAATGAGGGATTACTATATGATATTAAGTTGAAAAAACAATAATAAAAACACTCAACATCAATAAATAATTCCTTGGTCTATGGCAATACTCTTGCCATTGCTAATATTAATATCAATCATGCCTTACTAAATACTACCTATTATAAGATATTAGCTTATACCAGTATGGGGTGTTAGATGAATCTAGTCAAAATTTGCATTGTTTAAATCAACAAAAAAGTTGGGTCCTTTGGAAGCCGGTACACTAAATTAGACATAATTATAAAAAAGTACACATAAAAATATACATAGTGATAAGGTTTAACCATTGAATTTTAGGAACATTAATTCTCGAAAAACTTCATCTTTGAAAAAACGGTTATTGCTTATTCTTCATATCCTAAAACTATTTTCATCTTTCTCGGCGAGAAGTCCTAAATTGTTCACTGAACATCTATAGGGTTTTGTTTTTTAAAGAGATATCATACTAGTCCGCCATTGTAGATGTAAGTGCATTTGTGTATTTTCACATAGTGTAATAAAAGACAGTATAACAATACAGTATAACACTGTAACACATATAGTGCTCGATGGTTTTGCGGATGTGGTAACAAATTCAAAACAAAATTGGACTGTTACAATGAAGTTATATACAAAATATATGTTTGACAAAATGTAACAATACAGTGTCTTGTGTAAATAAATTTTTATACTGTTATTGTTACACTATAAACGTATATACATGATGCACTTCAGTTATGGTGTTCACATATAAAAAATAATATAATCACCTTTAAAATGATAGACATAAATCTAATAGAGTCATGAATTCAAATCATGTAATTGCTTAGATTGAATGATAATGATGAAATAATGTTTCGGACTTGCACTGATAAATTGCTTCCAAGCCGAAGAAGAAGAAGACAACAAATGATACTGCTGTAAAATTTAAAATTCAAACCAACTGATTTATCCTCAAAATAAACGGAAGAATTAAATCTTTCATTAAATTAAGAGATTTTTAATGCATAAATATAATTAAAAAAAACAGTTTTCAAAAATAATCATATGATTTAAGGGAGGACATAAATGTCAAAGGAAAATACGAAAATTTCAAATTATGTACTTGTACATAATTAAGATTTAAAATTAAAGACTTTTTTATTTTACATTTTTTTTCTGTGTATTTTTTTATAATTAAACCCAATTTAGTGTACCCCTCCAATTTATCAAAACAAGTTTAATGACCTAGTGGGGGCCCTACCAAACCGGGCTCAGCTCATAGCCATTCTGAGCTATTAGATGTCTGATGCTTAGACCAAACAAAAAGGGTTGAATTTAGAACAGCCCAACGCAACTGGTGGCTGTATGCATCTAGTTAGGTTGAATTAGGCCACACCAACCCAACTCGTGGCCCAATGGCAGATGTGTGACCGATCTAGACTGCCACCATTATTTTTGTTTTGGATCCTTTAGAGGTTGGTCTTATTTTGTAAATTTATTTGGTCTTTAAGTTCACTCAAAAAATTTATTTAGAAATAAGTTTATTTTAATCTCTATTTTCAAAATATCCTCAATAATTATATTTAATCAAAATTGATGTGAAAAAACTAACAACTCCTAAATTGGAAATTATATTAATATTAGCAACTCCTAACTCGAGAATTTTGCTAGTATTAAAATTATTTTTATATCATATCTATCTATCTATATATAGAGCATGTTACTATTTGATGTTACTATTTTTTTGTTGAACATGTTACTGTTTGATGCTACTATTTTTTTGTTGAGAGTTGTTGTATTTAAAATCATTGAAATTAACAATGATACTATCAATGAGTCTTTGGTTAAATGATACTCTTTATCTTATAAAAATTTTGCCTCGAGAAAGTTCAAGTTCCCTTCCCCTTCCCCTTCCCCATCCCAAAAAAAAAAATAATAAATGATAGGCAATATTTTATGGTAGGGGTAATTATTTAATACACAAAAAAAAAAAAATTGAAATGTATACTTAATGACAATAATTTGATGAAAAATAGGACTTAATGGAGTATAAGTTTGACTGTGGTACTTGAAGCAAAATAAATTCTACAAAAGATACTCATGGCCAAATATCCGTTTTATTTTTTCATTTTTTTTCCTTGACATATCCATCAAATACAATATAGTGAGGGACTAACTAAAAATTAGAGGCGTTGAATTCGAACTCTCTTACGGTTTATTATTAATTTATTATTATTTTTTTTCTAGAATGATAAAAATAAAATTTTGAGTGCCTAAATGATTGAATTCAACATAAAACTAATAGGACTCATGGCATGGCAATGATCTTGATCGTTGGCCCGATCCAAATAAAATGCCACTAGTCTCAATACATTCTAAGCCCAAGTCATTTCAGCCACCTATTCTACATCATTCTCAATTATTCAAAAATTATCAAAAAATAAAAAATTNAAGCATCATCAACAAATCTGTTTATACTATTTTCTAACTTTTGACATTGTAATATGATCTGAATATATTGTCATGATTAACTTCTTCTACCCTATTTGCATATATCGTCTCATACCGTTACACTCTATTTCAATCAATGCATCTCACCGCCCTTCGAGTAGATGATGATATCATGACAACCTTGTTGTGATCAGAAAATAGCTTTTTTATCTTTTACTTTTATCATCACAATCATGTTGTGATCAGAAAATGATGTACCACCTATTCTTATCAAGCTCGTTTTGGGCATGCAGGTGCAAAATTATCCGAATCTAAAAGAGTATTCACCATCATAAACGACTGCAAAGAGACAATTTGGCCAGCCATTATCCCAGGAGAGAACTTCAGTGGTGGCGGTTTTGTTCTAAAACCAAGCCAATCTATAGTCCTAACAGCTCCAATCAATTGGTCAGGTCGATTATGGGGACGAACAGGCTGCAACTTTGACAGCAATGGCAACGGAACGTGCCAAACAGGTAACTGTGGCACATCCCTCAAGTGTGTCGGCTCAGGCGAAACCCCGGCTTCGCTAGCCGAATTCACCTTTGCAGCATTCGATTTTTATGATGTTAGCCTTGTGGATGGGTTCAATTTGCCATTAGCTGTTACGCCAATTAGTGGTAAAGGAAATTGTACCATTGCTGGATGTACTGGAGATTTGAGGACTAATTGCCCATCCGAGCTCGCAGTCAAGGCCAGGGGGAAGGTTGTTGGGTGTCGGAGTGCATGCGACGTGTTTAACACTGATCAGTACTGTTGCAGAGGTGCTTATGGAAATTCGGCCGAATGTCAACCTACAAATTACTCAAAAAAATTTAAGGAAGCTTGTCCCAATGCATATAGTTATGCGTATGATGATCGTAGCAGCATTTATACATGCTTGGCGACGGATTATGTCATCACATTTTGCTCTTCCAGGTATGTTTTTAAGGATATATATATATAGCCAGCAATATTGATAATTTTTTTGTATTCTTTTGTTTTTTTTTTAATGCACTACAAGGTATAAGATGAACCTGTCAGTAGATCCATCTTATTTTCACTAAATGACCACGCCTTGTATAACAGCGTGTGATAGACTATGAGTTTTGGGAAGGACTAAGTTTATCAGCAACAAACCAGCTATCTATGTCTATGGCTAATGTAACATCATGCACGATCGTCTTCTAAACAGACGTGTTGTTGGTTGCAAATTCTTATTTCAGGAAGCAACCCGTTTGCACATATCACAACAAGAAGCTCGTCTGCAGTGGATCAAGGGGCTTAAAATCATTGATCGAAAAGTGGGGCATTATGATATTCATATTGAGTTTAGCGATTAATTTCCTGATGACCTTTTAGCACAGAACTCACATAATGGTTTTTGTTTTGTTGTTTTAGTACATGCTTGTAACTATGAATCTAGTTATTTCTTTTTGGCTTTCGTAGTTCAAAATTGATGGACTAGGTTTTTCTTGTGGTCAAATTAGTATTCTTACATAATTTTCTAACCCAGTTCATGTGGGTACCTGACTTCAGTTCCTACTGTCGAACTCAATAGGCTGAATAGCTCACTCCTTTTGTTGTTGCTCCACAATCAGAAAGTGGAACTATCAGATAAAGAAGCAACGGGCTGATCTGACTTGCATGTCTGCCGTCCTTTCATCAATAACATATGTAGTTGATTTAGATGGAGTGAATAGGTCAAATGCACTCTAACTTGGAATATATGCCTCAATAAAAATTATTTCACTCAATTACAATTTAATCAATTAATTAATGCAATTAATCCCTCAATGAAATATTTGTCAATGTTTCCAAAATCCCTAATTAATTTGATGTCAATAAAGCACAATCCACCAAACTTATCTATCCAATCCCTTCCACCAATTTAGCCAAATTGATTTAAGTAATTAAAACGGCCAATACTACAAGTCGGATTTATTCCACCAATTTATCCATCACTTGGAGGAAAGTAAATTTCAATGCCTTTATATACTTTTTTACATATGCATTTGCTTCTAAATGTTGGATTTTCAGTTTGTTTGTGGATGTTGTTTTATTGGAATTGAGGTTGTTGATATGATATCTCCAATTCTTTCAGGTGAATGTGTTGCTAATGATGCATTGCTATTTTAATTAGTTCAGTAAATGGGTTAGGTTGGATAAAGGAAGGCACAACTGCACAAGTGGTGCCTCTCTGAAACATAGAGGAAAAGGCTACTTGCAGTGGTTAAGAAAAGAGTTGGTTTTAATCAATTAATTATGTGAGTTGGCCCAAGGATTTAATAAGAATGTTGTGGTGTTTGCACTAGTCAAAAAAGAATGCATGCAGGATGATAACCGTAAGCTATATAGCACTAGCTAGGTAGAAAAGGGGGATAAATGAGAAAGTTGACTTGGAGACTGAGTAAGGGACCTTTGCATATTCCACTAGTAGACAATTTAGTGATAGCAATCTTCCCTTGCTTGACGATCAGCATATTCCAATTGTGAGTTACATGTCTAACTCTTACTATAACTCATTTGTGGTTATATCTAATTTTTGTTTTTTATTGTCAGACACAGATTTCATTATTGGTAAATTCTATTCATGTTTGTTTATAATTTTGGGGGAGCCTACATTCTATTTAATTTGATTATTTATTCATGACATGACTGCATTAAGCAATGTTGTGGATCCTAATCTTTGATTAATTTTTTTTGTCTCGACTTTCTTAATGTAGGTTTTAACTTCTTAATTACTAAATGAAATGCTAAGTTATATTATAAGGTGAATAACCTGATTCTGCACCTCAATTTATTGNTTGTGAGTTACATGTCTAACTCTTACTATAACTCATTTGTGGTTATATCTAATTTTTTGTTTTTTATTGTCAGACACAGATTTCATTATTGGTAAATTCTATTCATGTTTGTTTATAATGTAGGTTTTAACTTCTTAATTACTAAATGAAATGCTAAGTTAAATTATAAGGTGAATAACCTGATTCTGCACCTCAATTTATTGCTTGAAGATGTTTGCATTTCATTTTCCTTTGATTTTTTTCCCATTCTCCTTCTGTGTTTTAGTTTTAATCCGAAGTTTTTGATTTCCCATTCTTTGATTCTTTAGATAACAATAGTGTTTCACAATGTATCATACATTTTAGTGATTAATGTTATATTTTACCAGTTTATTAATTAATTCTACGATTGAAAGGTATGCTATAAATTTTGAATATAACTTAAAGACTTTGTTTTTATTATAGGTATGTTCTTTTTCGACTACATATTCTTCTTTGCTAGCAATGTGGTTTGATGNATCGTCTCCCAATTCATTGAGCTTATTAACCCAATATGAATCTCACTCTTTGATGAATTAGAGTGACAAACATTATATGCACGTGACAATTAAATATTTGGGAATTAAGAGCATAAACAATCATAATAATAATGAGGTATTTATTATCTTATTAAATCAGTAAAAGATAATAACCTTAACATGAGTCTGTTCAATACACAAAGTATTCTATNTGTTAGCTAATGCTATGTGTAGGATGAGCTGTGGAAAAAAATTGTAATTACATAAGAAAATTTTTGTGTTCATTTATTTATTTTAATGTTTACTGCTATTGAATTGTATTGGAAATTGNAGACTTTGTTTTTATTATAGGTATGTTCTTTTTCGACTACATATTCTTCTTTGCTAGCAATGTGGTTTGATGTTAGCTAATGCTATGTGTAGGATGAGCTGTGGAAAAAAATTGTAATTACATAAGATAATTTTTGTGTTCATTTATTTATTTTAATGTTTACTGCTATTGAATTGTATTGGAAATTACTTCGTGGGTAATGCGATTGGGATCTTGGAGGGATTGATAAAACCAAAATTTGTAGTGGGTTACATGGAGGGATTGATAATAAGAGTTATTCGAAGGGTTGTAATTTCATTATTGGCTGATGCTTCAAAATATGGAATGTTCAAACAAAATGATTCTTATTTATGTGGATTTAGTTCTTTGGTTGGACTTACNATAAAACCAAAATTTGTAGTGGGTTACATGGAGGGATTGATAATAAGAGTTATTCGAAGGGTTGCAATTTCATTATTGGCTGATGATGCTTCAAAATATGGAATGTTCAAACCAAAGGATTCTTATTTATGTGGATTTAGATCTTTGGTTGGACTTGGNGGGTTGTAATTTCATTATTGGCTGATGCTTCAAAATATGGAATGTTCAAACAAAATGATTCTTATTTATGTGGATTTAGTTCTTTGGTTGGACTTACATGTATAACATGTGTCAATAACTTTTGTTATTATGATATAACTGTTATTTTGGCTTCTATTATGTAGGGACCAAAATTTGAAGTTGTTTTTGAGTTAGGTTGAGTAATTTATTCTTGAGATTGGTTATGCAATAATTTGTGTTGGGAGATTGAATGGTTTGTGTTAGGTAATGATGCAATTGATGTCACTGTAGACAGATAGAAATTTTCATGGGTTCCTATTTTTAGAAGAAATTCTTCAAATTTTTTTTGAAAAAATAGCATGGGTTATTGATTTCAATTTCTTTAATTAAAGAAAATGAAGGAAAAACTATTTTAAATTGAAGTATTTTTCTAAATTACAAACTATCTTTAGGCACGAATTATTATTAGTAAGTTAAAATTGGTGGACATTAGAGCTTACATTTTAATTAATCTATTCACCCCCTTTAAGTAGTGTCTTGCAATCCATATTTATGATGTGAGCANGAAGTATTTTTCTAAATTACAAACTATCTTTAGGCACGAATTATTATTAGTAAGTTAAAATTGGTGGACATTAGAGCTTAAATTTTAATTAATCTATTCACCCCCTTTAAGTAGTGTCTTGCAATCCATATTTATGATGTGAGCGAAGATCCACTTAATCTATTCACCCCCTTTGTTGAAAAGTAGTTTGGCCTTGTTAAACACAGATCTTTGACTTGAAAGAAGTTTTTCTAATTTCTCACTTGGGTCAATTTAGAAACAATTGTGTTTAGTTCATAGTTCTTTCGTCTTAACTCATTTTTTGCATTCATAAGCTTTTCAATCAAGGATGAATCATGAGATTCTTTTTCCAAAGAATCATTTTGAAATTTGAGGGCTTGTTTGGTTTGCGTTTTAAAAAATAATATCCNTAACTCATTTTTTGCATTCATAAGCTTTTCAATCAAGGATGAATCATGAGATTCTTTTTCCAAAGAATCATTTTGAAATTTGAGAGCCTGTTTGGTTTGCGTTTTAAAAAATAATATCTAAAAACAGTTTTTGAGAAGAGTTTTAAGAAAGTGGTTTTGATATGTTTTGAAATAAAAAACTTGTTTGGTTAGATGATTTCAAAAACAAGTTTACAATACAGAAAATAGTAAAACTTGTTTGGATAGTCTAAATATATATTTGAACTGTAATTCAAACATTAATAAAAATATAAAAAAGNTTTCAAAAACAAGTTTACAATACAGAAAATAGTAAAACTTGTTTGGATAGTCTAAATATATATTTGAACTGTAATTCAAACATTAATAAAAATATAAAATTTTTTTTTTTATATTGAAAATTTCATAATATATATACTCATATCTGAACATCCAAAATTGTTCTCTTTGTTTCCAAAATTTTCAAAAAAACTCTAAAAATAAGCTACACTTGTTTTTNATACTCATATCTGAACATCCAAAATTGTTCTCTTTGTTTCCAAAATTTTCAAAAAAAACTCTAAAAATAAGCTACACTTGTTTTTTGCTTCTTTGACTCAAATCTCATTTTTTTTCCAAAATTTAGAGAACAAAAATGCTAAATAAACAAGTTTTGGATATTTTTAAAATTTTGAAGACAAACAACTGTTTCTGGATCACAAACCAAACATAGCCTGAGTTTCTCATTCTCAATTTTCAAGACATCATTTTCATTTGATAAAATAATTAACTTCTTGAGACCCTTATAGCTTTTGCTAAG